AGGACATTATTGCTGTCCAGACAATAATCGCGTTCATCTTGTGTTTTTACTTTTAAAACAGACAAATGACCGTGACCATGGGAAACCAATTGGTGGAGTGCCAGGAGTGTCATAATCTCTACCACCAAGAGTGTCATAGACCACAAGTGACGGATAAAGAGGTTAACGACCCCCGCCTCGTGTGGTACTGCGCCCGCTGTACCAGGCAAATGAAACGCATGGTGAGGGAAAAAAAAACAGCCTTCCATGTTGGGATCCTTTCTGGTGTTCAGAGCGTCTGGTGATGCTTCCATGACTAATTCATATCTATGTTGTTGTTAAGGCCCAGAAACCTCCACAAAAACCGTCCCCCGTCTCTGCGTCATCCGCGCCTGTTGTTAAGGACACTGTGGTGAAGAAGGCGGACCCCAAACTAAAAACGGATACGGCCAGCACCTTCCAGGCTTTCAAGAGAACAGAAGTGAAGGTATGTGGGTCATCCAAAAGCAGTCCTTTTTAAGAGATGCACCAATCCAGGTTTTTTGGATCCAATCCCATTCCGATACCTGAGCTGAGCTAATCAACCGATGTCCTATTTTGATCCCATTCGACTGTTAATTGAATGAAACATTGTTAAAAGAACGGAGACGTTAGCAGCAAAATCGAAAAAAGTAATAGTAATGGATCTCAGATATCCGATATTAAATCATTGATATTCAATCCAGCTAATTAGTAAAATTGGAGCCAATATCTCAATCAGTTATCAGATCAGTGCAGCTCTAGTGAAAACATATCAGAGGCCTCAACATAGGCTGACTTATTGCCTAAAGGTCAGTTTAGAACAAAATTTTGCACTCTGAACAGGAATCAGCACAACATTTTTCTCTCTGTTGTGCTTTGAGGAACCTCATTCAGCCTGTTTCACCCAATGACTTGGATAATTATTCAGTTGAAAGATTTTTATTTATAAACTCGATGTTCCACAGGCCATTAGCAGAGAAAAACCCATCACCATCATACATCCCTCACTGTGTTTAACAATGGGCATGGGGTGCATGTAGATTTATCTCTGAGTCAAATAGCTGAATTACCTCCTTAGCTTATCATCACTGTGATAGGATTCCCTTTCTACCTGAATGAACTTGAATAAATTGAAAATTAACCTCACAGGTTTCTTAATTTCTTTGTAATCCTTCTGTGATGTATAATGGTACATTTGAGCACACAATGCATGTTTTGTTTAGTCGAGATTCTATGATTAAATGAACAGTACAAAATGTATAGAATACATGTTAAAAACTGCAAATATCAAGCTATTTTTGTAAAAAAAAATTTATTATGATTGTTAAAATATTTTTACTACTGTGGTTATAATGGTTTTCTATTTCAGATTAAATATTATATTATGGTATTATTCCTTCTGTTCATTTTTTTTTACTAAATAATCCTAAACAAACATATTTACTATTTGTCAAAGTTTAGTCATTAAGAAAAGAATATAATTGCTAAATGGTAAATGGCCTGTACAATTATTTAAGTCAGGAGACTTGACCAAAGCGCTTTACACTACATTCATTCACCCATTCACACACACACTCACACACTGATGGTGGCAAGCTTCATTGTAGCCACAGCTGCCCTGGGGCTCACTGATAGAAGCGGGGCTGCCGTACACTGGTGCCACCGGGCCCTCTGACCACCATCAGTAGACAATGCAGGTGAAGTGTCTTGCCCAAGGACACAACGACACTGAAAGTCGGAGTCGGAAACCGTCAATCCTTCGATTTCAGGGCAAACTCCTACATCCAACGCCACTGTCGTCCTTATAAGAAAAAGAATGTTAAAGTTATAAATCGAAAAATAACAAAAAGTGGTAATAGAAGTGGTGATGGTAGTTTTGATAGGATTATCTCCTTTTTGTTATTACTCTGATTGGGGCTGAAACTGTTAATCAGATTACTGGTGATTAATCGATTATTGAATTAATCGTCAACTATTTAGTAATCGATTAATTGTTACCTGGAGTATAGAGACTTTAAAACATGCTTTTAGCTAACAGAGCAACCCATTTACAGCTATAAATATATCCGAATGGTAAAAAAAAAATATAAACATTCTGCATTTAAGATAAAAAGAAATGTTTTCGTCTATCAATACACTTCTGACCGACCAAACTTGAATAAGGACAAAAGGTGTTCAAAATTTGAAAAAGTGCTTTCATTTAATAGTGTCAAAAATAGTTAACAAAGGCTCAAAAGCAATACAAAATAACTTAAATAATAAATAACATGGATCTGGGCCCAACTTAAAGGTACACTATGCAACCGGTGTTGATTTTCCAGCGAGGCTCCCCCCAGAGGGCGAAAGTAAAAGTGCACNGGGTGCGGGTCGGTGCTCCTGCAATTGCAAGTGCGGTATTTCCCCCACAGACCACCAGGGCGGCCGAGAATACCTTTGTTCAACCTGAAATGACTCATTTAATCATCCAAAACGTTATGGAACACATTAATTAACTGAAAAATGTTGCATAGTGTTTAACTTAACATAAGTTTAACTGAGGTCAACTGAGGGACCAACCTGCCAAACAAAGAACTAAAGGTCTCCCCCGTCAGTCTTTCAAAAAATGCTCCAGGTTTCCTCCTCCAGCTGGTTTGTTTCAGCAGCACCTCAAACAAAAGAGGTGTTTGCACCCATTCAGACAGACATTAACTAAAGTGTGCACCCATTAGAAAATACCTGTCTAAAAGAAATAACCAACTTAAACATAAACTGTAATATAATACAAAGCAAGAAAGAAAATACTGACACGATGTGGTGGTGGGAGGATCATCCACCACAACACTCTATCCAGAACTTCTCAATTAGAAAAGTTTTAGTTGGTTTAGCCGGTTTAATTTAATAAAAAAATCTTTAAAGAATATTTGGCTATCCAATTCTTAATCAATTAATCAAAAAAATAATTAACAGGTTAATCTATTTGCAAAACAGTCGTTAGTTGCAGCCCTGACTTTGATATTAATTTCCAAAACATCAATAGATAATGTCTTGTTATACAGATGCAATCATTTCCCATGTTTATCCCTAATCGTTTTTCCTGTTGCTCCCTATTTTTTCCTGCAGACTCCGGCCACATTAGCCAACCCTACCAGCAGCAGCTCCTCCTCCCCAGGCAGCGGTCTCACAGGCTGGGCCGCCTTTGGTGCCAAAACAAGCCCGTCTGTTCCTGCTACCTCCAAACTGGCCTCTTCAGGTACAAGCGGTAGCAGCAAGACTGTGACGGCTTCTTCTGGCCAGAAACCGGTGGGTTTGTCAGGACTAGCAGGAGCCAAATCAGGACTTGGGGGAGCGAAGGTTACTGGGAGCAGCAATGGAAACGGCTCCAGCCAAGCAGCTCTGAAAACTCCTCCGCCTCTAACTCTGGGAAAGCAGGCACTGAACCGCTCATCCAGCAATGAGAGCCAAGGGAAAGGCTCCGCTTCATCCGGAGCCAGCTCACCGAGCAGCTCCCAGGCGCCGACTGGGGGGAACGGGGGGAATAACGGAGGAGGGAACGGGAACAATGGGAACGGCTCAAAGGGCGCGCCGACCTCTCAGGAGTCCCAGCTTAACGCCATGAAACGCTTGCAGATCTTTAAGAAGAAAGCAGCTCAGAAGAAACTGAAGAAATGAGTCAAGGTTTAGAGAAACGCATACAGAGGGATATATGAGGTAGCAGAGAGTAAAGGTGATGCTGCAGCTTTGTGTTTGCACTTCAAGAGCTTCTGCATAAGGAGAAACCACCATCCAGCTACATACTTGAACTTTACCTTAAAGCAGCTGGATATGACACGTGCCTCCTCTCTCCTAGCAAAGCTAACCAATGAGTAAAGTGTCACTTTTTAACAACCCGGTAAATAAATCAACTCTTCTCTCAAACTGACTCCATCCGTCTCTTTGTTCAGGGTTTTTACTTCCTTCTTCCTGTTTCTAGGCTCTTAAGATCTTTAAATCCTTCCTCATTATGTTCTCTCCTCCTTTGTTATGTCTCTCCTCTCTTACTCCATTACGGTCTACCTTCATGTTGTCCTTTTGGTCATTTTAAATGCTTTCTTTTCCGTATATAGATTTCTTTTCTGGCTTTCCTCCTTTATACCCTCCCTTTCCATTTAACTTGTCTTTCATCTGTTGCCTTTTCTTTCTTCAACCTTCTGACCTTCAACCTTTTTTCTTCCTTTATTTGTACTCTTAAGTTGTGGCTGTTCATGTTTTTAAATGCATTATTTAATCCCTTTCCCTCTTTTGTTTTGCCCTTCCTTCTAACCTCTTTCCTACATTTGGCTCCCTTATTGCTTTTCCCTTAATTATTTCATTTCATTCTCATATTTCCTTTCTTCATTATTTAGTTGCTTCCTTCCTCCTGTGCTTTATCATTTCTTTTTTTCCTTGCATCTTAGACCTTTCCTTCCTTCCTTTAATCTAATTCCTTCATTGCATCCTGCCGCTTATCTTTATGTGGTTCTATCTCAAATTTTTGTTACATTTCCTTCTTTAACTTATAGCTTTATTTCCTTCCTCACTTCCTCTTGTGCTTTCTCTTTGCATTTTTTTATATCTTCCATATTCAAAGACTGTCCCCTGTTAGTACACTGCAAAAAAATTAATCTAAATAAGCTATTTTTTCTTAAAATAAGTGCATTTCCTCTTGAATTAAGGGGGTAAGTGGGACACTTTGCCAATTGAACAGGACAATTTACATTTAAAATAAGAAAAATTTTAAATGTAAATTTCAAGACCATATAATTATCTTATTTTAAGAGTTAAAAAATACTCATTCCATTTGCAAATCATTTTATTTACTTACTCAAAGTAAGGGTAAATACACTTAATCTAAGATTTATTTTTTTTTACTTATTTGTAGATAGTTTTTGCAGTGTACATGCGCTAAAATAATTGAAAATATTCCTATTTTAGAATAAAGATTGGAAAAATTGGAGTCTGGAAGTCTGAAATTTATTTTTATTTATTAAATATGAATCCATATATTCAGAAAAAATAACGATACAAGTCATAAAACATCTAGGATAGATCATAAAAATATTCTTCATATTCTACTTCATTTATATAAATCACTTCTAAATCAGTTGACATATTAAATTTACTTCATGATTATGTCACTTCATCAATATAAACAACACTGAGGTACAAAAAGTGCTCAGCAAAGTGCACTGCAGTTCCATCCGATTACCCATCTCACCTCATATCCCAACCCAAATGACAGGATAAATACCAACGGTGAGTTCATGCGCTACATTCATATCAAAGAGCAGTTAAACAAGGCGGCAAAAACATGTCTACATTACAAAGGTGCAGTTTAAGCATTCACAAAGCAGAACGTCAACATATTTATGTTTATAGAGCTTTTTCTTCTTACAAAACATTAAAAAACCCACTATGATAAAGTTTACACTGTATTTGAGAGGAATGAGTGATTTTCATTTATGCTGCTGTAATAGTGTGGATGTATTGTACCAAACATAAACAATATGACTGAAGGATTTTAGATAGCAACACATCGTGGGGAATCATGTTTTATTTAAATAAAAGCACTCCCGTTAAACTGAAAACGTAAACCTGTAGTGCTTTCTACACCAGTAGAAAATGTATACCAGTACTTAAAAAATAAACAATCCAAACAAGTGTATTGTTTTTGCAGCAGTTTGATATGAATCTGAAAATTAAAACCTTTCAGTTTGAGTTCATTCTGTAGGGAACAAATCCTTTTTGAAAAATAGCCCTGCTCTCAATGGCGTCTCTAGAAATTCCTGGAGATTATTAACTAGACCAGGAGGTTTTATATTTTAATTCTTAACCTTCAAGTGGCTGTTTCCTCTGCTATAATAATGATCTGACACTGGAGTTTGTCTTATCCTCTCTTCAGAATGAAAGTGAACACCCTATGAAAATTAGACAAATGTATCATGATCTGTAAATGTATATTAATATAGCTAGCTGCCTTAACCTGCCCATATCTACAGTCAGATCAATGATAAAATAACTGGAAGAGCGAGGAAAAAGAAGAGATGAGTACCTCATTTCATCAATTCACATTGAGGAGGCTGATGAACAAAAACAATCTGCAAAACTTGGCTCAGTATTAGGTGTGCACAGATGGCAGGTTTCTGGCCGATCATTCCTGATCTTTACAAAGCCCGACATATTCATTCCGATTTTCACTTTTGTAATCAGACATTAATGTACCTTCAATATTTTAATCTTATCTTATTGAAAAACATTCATCAGTACCGTGAAAAAAATAAAAACGTCTGCTTTCAAATATAGATCAAGGTCTACAGCAAAAACATTTGGTAATTTTCAGACTTCTACAGCGGTGGATAAGATTGGCTTCACATCTAAGTATCGTCTGATAGCAGATCTCGGAAAATTAAGGACATCGACACCAATCAATCAGCCGGCTGAACAATCGGTGCACCCCTACTTAGTAGAGCAACTATTGACACCCATCCGTCTGTGGTCCATCCATCAGCCTTTTATTTTAGCTCTTTTAAACGCATCTTTACCTGCACTGCCAATAATTATACAGGCCATCGTGTTTAAAAGAATCATATCCAACATTAAAAAAAAAACAACAAAAACAGACAGGTGTCTTTGATAAGATAGACTGGCGCATACGAGACCTTTGTGCATAAGCAATTTAGAGTAGGAAATTATTTTTGAAAATAATGAAAGTTTCATGTCCTGGCTACAGATTATGACGAACATCTAAAATTATAGGGGTGCCTGAGCCAACTTGCTGAAATAAAGAAACCATTACTGCCAAACGATGGCTCACTAATTAGGCCTCTTCTTAAATACATAAAAAATTATGTATTCATTAAAATCTGATGCATTAGAGCAACAAATTTCTTCTTGAAGACCATATTTCACAAAAGGCCTCGATATTAAACTCAAAATAGATGAATATTCATAATTTTCCAGATCAATGTTACTGCAGAAGTTTCAAATGAAATCCTAACTATATTAATCAGCTTTTAGTAAGAAATAAGGGGTATATGTTTTTTTTTTCCTGTTAGTTTTTCTTATAAAACTGTATTTGAAACAAGGCCTTCTAGATTCATGCATAGGACATCCTTCCAAGGTAGTTAGCAGGGACATAACCCTTCTGCCCATTGGACTCAGCCAACCACCACTGTTTGTTTCCTCCCACGTCACAAAACTGGAGTATGCGGACGTGCTGGTACTCCTGCAGGGAAAGCTCCTGTTCACATCGGGCTTGAAATGCATACACGGCATAATACTGTGGAGAGAAACGTAGTTTAGACATTATTTAATGCAAACAACATCTCTGCTTTTAGGACACAGTTTCCTCATTCACTTTGAACAGGAATAAGGCAGTGTATTCTAGTTTCAAATCAGAAGGTGGCACTGTTTATTAGTTTTCAGCACAGACTAACCAATAACTTTTACTTGGTTTTCTAAGTTGATGTTTAAATATTATTATTTAAAAATTATGGTATCCTAACATTTACATTCATGCTATGAATTAAAAATAACAATAGATGCGTCCTGGATACGACACACACCTGTTGGGTGTCATCATCCACCGACTCCTCCAGTTCCTCAGTGTTCTCCAGCTCTCCCTGCAGACCTGAGAGGGTGGAGTTGCTGTCCATGGTGTTCAGGCTGATGCTGCGCAGGCTGCTGCTGCTGCTGGGTGACACAAACAGGCTGAGGTCGTCAAAGTCTTCATCTGCAATGACAAGGGGCTGCTGCTGCTCTTTGGCCTTCTGGTTTGCCCGCTGGGAGTCCCTCAGAGGGTTGTATTGCTTCAGGAAGGTCGAGTAGACATAGCCCTGGTCCCCTGATTGAGGTGGAGAAAAAGGATTTAAATTTCTGTCATTTCTTTTTGACTAGTTTTTTCTCTGTTTATACATGTTTTAATGAACTATGAACTACAAATACACTTATAATTAATTGGCCATTACTGGGATTGTAAACAATCTTATTCCAGCCACCTCTTAAGTTTCATACCACTACAACTTTTCTCTGCATGTTATGTTATAAACATAAACGTGTCTGTATTTATTGCATTTTTATGTACAGCACAAAATCTGAAAAATGTTATCTATAGTTGTATTTGTCTTCCCTTACTCAAATAACCCTAAATATCATCCAACTCAAACAATTACCTCTTAATGTTCCTTTATTAATAAAACAAAGTCCATCTACATTTAATTTAATCCCAGCATAACAAATGTGAAGACCAATATAAATAATTAAAAGTTGCTTCACAAAGACCAAGAAACACTGGTCTTTATGAAACTTTAAAGCACGGTTAGGTTATAAAACAACCTTCCAAATTTTGAAGATCTCATGTAACGCTGATAAATTCATCTCAATATAAAAAAATATCTATCTTAAAGACGTCTATCCAAACTGCCTTGGAGGACATTATTCATAAAGGCAGCCATGAAGGCAACAATATCTCTGTAGGAGTTGCAAATATCCACAGCTCAGAACAATGAGTTGTGCATTGCAGGAATCAGGTGTGTTACAGAGCAATGGTAAGAAGAAAACCATAAGAAATCATAGAGGAGACAGCTAAGAGGGAAAAATTTGCTTTGCCCAGCATTGGGTTCGTCGCTCTAGTTTCTTCTTACTGGGAAAAAGGAACAAGCTGCATGAAGTGTATCACAGAAGAAAACCTGCAACAGGCGGCACAGCCAGCGCTACAGTTGGGTTGGTTTAGACAAAAGCAAATTCCTATAATAAAGTAGACCAATCAAAGTTCAAATCTAAATCCAAGTGAAAATCTGCTCCTCTAACCATTATAACCATAATTTATAGATGAAAAGAGACCATTTATTAACGATTAACAGATAGTTGATTAATGTTTGATTCATTTATAAACTGCATCCAAACCATTTATAAAAGGTCAAATATATCACTTATTTAGGTATTAAGCCCACTGATGTTAGGTGTAGGGCTAAGCTGGCACAGCACAGCAAAATAATTGATATACTTTTTATAAATTTTTAGGTAAATGATTATCAAACATTAATAAATGGTTAATCATTAATAAATTGTCTTTGAATGTTTTCATAAATGATGGTTAGTGCAAAGTGTTACCGCTAAAACTAAAGGGTGTTTCTAGAAGCCACAGGAAAATTGTTTAAAAAACCTTTAATCATTTTCCTACCCTAATTCACAGCTAAGCACAATGCTGCGTTGGCCTTTAGCATAAAATGTCAATCAAATATGTTGAAACCAGGGGTTATAGGGTGAGGAACTGGGAAAAATGGAAATGAAGAGTTCAGCAAGGCCCTGTGTGTGACATAAAGGCTGTTGGCAGCTTGCATACAGTAGAGGTGTTGCTTGCAGTCCGATTCTCATTTGTACTTTGTGTAAATATGAGTCAGTGCTGGTATTAACAGAAAGAACAACAACTTCCCATGAATGCAGCCTTTCCCACAGGAAAAACACCAACCTGGATAGATTGTAAATTTTTCTGGGTAATAAAGATATGTTCTTCTATACATATGGCTATATAAATATATGTTCAGCAGAGACGGGAACAGGAGCATAAGGGTGGAGTCCATAAGGCCTCATGTGATTCCCAGAGGGAAATGCTTTAAGTATACGCAGTCTGCTGTTTAGTTTGTTCCAACCAGTTGCTTGGATCTCAGCTGATTCTGCGAGACAGAAAGAGGAGACAAGCTATGCAGTTGGCTGTGTTGTGAGGTAACCAGCTCTAGAGGCACCAGGAACCATGACACCGCAGCAGCTCCTGGGACTTATTCTAGTGTGCTGACTTGTCAGAAAGTAAAGAGCCTCTGTCATCTAGAAAAATTCCAGACCTTTACAAACCACAACCTGTTTTTTTGTTTTGTTTTCTTTTTTTAATAGAGTTGTCTCTGTAGCAAGAATCCTCTCCCTGGTATGCAGACACTTGCCTCCGGTGTGGACCAACCAACGGCTGCTGCTTCCTAAAGGGTCTGTATCCTCCAGCAGGGCCACCAGCTCTCCCTCAAGCAGGCTCAGGTCCTGTTCCTGGCAGCCATTACACTTCCTCTTCAGCTGGTAGAGGCGGTTGGCCGGGTACTCTGCCAGAAGCCAGGCACGCTGTTCCTCCGTTTGATGCTGCACCTCCATCATCTGGAAGACAGTACAGAGGTGCTGGTGTAAATATTTGTGGTGGGTATTTGTAGCATGGTTATACGTCACAGTGTTTTCAGTAATCAGGGAATGAGGGAGAATTAAACCGGGGGAAGCTGTTTGAACTTTTCATACGCTTATGGCCGACCCCAAATCAATTATCTATAATTGATTTGGGCGGATTATGTATGAATATTAATTTGCTGTTCATTTTTTCTTCCTGGGTTATGTTTCATTCAAGTAAAATCATTTTCTTTTTTCAACATGTCTTCCTGATCCTCAGATTCTAAGACTTATTTGGAGGATATGTTTATCTGTTTGTGGAAGTTTTGAACACACACTCTTGTGTTAAAGTTTAAACCTCATTTCGACTCTCTAAACTCCTTTATCAATTAGGTGACCTCTATATACAGTTTGCTATACTGGATTATATAAAGAGGTATCAAAATAATAGAAGCTAAAATATAATTGCATTGGAGACTTTGTAGAAGTCTTGCACCATATTTATTCTAAAGTCATCAATGTCTGTGTTTCTAATGTGGCAAAACATAAAAAAAAACTTATATCTAAAAGTACTTTTACAAAAAAGCTTATATATTTTCAGCCAAATTTAAGAAAATGAATTGACTCCTATCAGATGCTATCAGATGTGAGCCACTGAGCTACTGAGTCAATTATTTGATGCTTTTTTTTCTACTTATCATGAGGGAACATCTCACTTAATTTTTTTAAAGTGTTAAGCTCCTAAGAATAATGTGATAACTAGTATTACAGATTTTGAAAAAAATATGGTATAACTCCAATATCTCGACTGTATTGATTATCATGTGTCATATCTGGCACATAGTGTTCGAATCCAGATGTGTTTGTATTATATTATCTTTAAAAAGGTCTAGGCGGTTTTAATGAGTGTTTCAGATAGTTAATACCTGACATAGATTAAATAATTAAGAGGTCTAAGCTCTTTTTTCAGGTTTGGAAGAGTTAAATGTTTAGACCACAAACCACTAAGAACTAGATAAACATGTCTAAATGCACTATGATGTTTTCTACATGAGGCTGTAGTTAATTCATCATAAAGTTCTGGTTTCCATGTACAGAGCTGACTTTTAAGAACACACCATGTTTTTGGCAAAGGTTGAGGTCAAGGGCTTTTAAAATCGTAATATTAGCCTGAATTATCTAATAAAATAATGTTTTCAGGTATATTTGGGGTCTACTTTCTTATTGGAGAGGCTCAACTCTGCTGAAGATCCAACACGTTTTTAAAGAGTTCGATTTATGAACCGTGCTAATCCCAGTTCATTATGACATCAGGCATCTGACCTGTTTTCCACATCATACATTACACCGTAAACTCTACTCTACCCTGAAAACTGCCAGAACATCCCTGTCAATTCCCACATTGATATAAGTGTTACTTCAACATGGACTTAAGAGGGTTCCCAATAAAGCAAAATGTCTAAAAGTCTTCAACTGCTAGACATGGTGGTGGTGGTGGCATCATGCTGCCAGTTCAGTGATTCTATACAAAATAAGACAAAAGGCTAACTCCAAATTCTTTGACATAGCCTTAAAGGAAGAGCTTGATCTTTTTTTTTCTTTGAACCCAGTTTGATGCCCCAACAGAGGTCAAACAACACGGATCAAACAGGTTTGGAGTTGATAAAACACGCCTGCCCAAAGTCTAAACCACAACTCTGACCTAAATGCATTGACTTTGTATCAAAGCCAGCTTCTTGAAGAGACTATTACATTAGATAAACTGTCAGTTTTGATAAGATGAAAGGTCAGACATCCGCCCAGATCCAACTTTCTGAAGGAAGCGGCACAAGTTTCAGCCCATGTGTGTGTATTTATTCAAGCTGGTGTGTATAATTTAGAAATAAACCCCACTAAAGCTAATATGAAATTTTCCCTCAATGACTTTTTAATATGCTCACCTAAACCTGCTCATGTGTCAGAAGAGAAATGCTCTTAGAGTAGTGTAGTACAAGGTAACAGAATGGAGCTATTACACGTGTCTACCTTAAATTGATTGGCCAGCTGCTCATCGGCAGCACAGACAAATGACATATTTAAAATAATATATGGTTATTTCTACGGTCTTACCACTGTTTTCTTGTCTCGTTGCCTCTCAAAGCTAACTTTTCTCTCCATTAACTTCTGTGCATTGTCCTTTACAAACATCAGATTGTTCAGTTCGTCCATGATGCTGTTCTGCACTTCAGTGATGTTTGACAGTGGAGGCTGGAGAAAACAGAAAAAAGAAGCTTGGATAAATTTTCAATGATTGAAACTGTATAAGATAATATGTGTGATGTGTGCTATTCTCACAGGAAGCTGGTGAACAGCCGGAGCCCCAACCAACGTGTTACCCATCAGGCCTCTGAGCAGGGCTGCCAGACACACCACACAGTTTGTCAAGATGATATAAGCTGCCATGTTGAACCTCTGCAGCTCCTCCACTAGTAAGGCATTGATGGCTTCATAGTCCCTCTTGGCGGGACCAGGAGGGGGATCTGATGCTGGCGAAGAGGTGGACGATGAGGAAGAGGACGAAACAGAGGAGGAGCGTTCCAGGCGGCAGCAGTAATCCAGCAGTTTGTCATAACGCTTCTGGATGAGCTTCTGAGGTGCTGTGAACATACCCTGCAGGGAGGTCAGGGGGGCCAGGACCAATCGCTCCAGTTGGCCTTTCTAAAGGGGGAGGGAAATTAGGAAAGAAAGTGTAACATCAGTGGGAACATTTTCTTGACTTGTTTGTTTTTTTGTTAAATCATATTCATCATAAAGCTCAATTCATTTTACATTATGTAATGGTTTATATAAGCTTTTCTTTTCTAAAGCAAAGAGAAATCACACCAGCTGCACTGATTTGAAAGATAAACTGTGTACAAAACATTTGAAGTTACTTCAGTCTTTCTTTTTAATGCGAGGGTCTTCGAGGTGCATAATGTGTCATGATCTTGACGCTGATGACTGCCCTGATTACTCATTTCATTCACCTTCCTAGCTCTGCCCAGTTACTCATTACCTTTTATCTGTTCCACCTGCTTCAGCCTCTATTTAACCAGCCTCCACACCAGTCATCAGTGTCAGATTATTCAAACCCATGGTGAGAGTTCTCTAGTGTACCCGAGTGTTTTTGATTGCCTGATCCGGATCTGTTCTGATCTGTTTGCCTTGGACTGCTGCTGGATTTCTGCCTTTGTACCGAACTTGGAGCTGATTCCTGAAACTGTCCTGGATTCCCCTTCGGTTCCTCTTTGGACTTCTGAACTCCTGGATCTGACTCCCAACCACGTCCTCGACACCGGCTTTGGCTTTGCTCTCTGGATTATCCTGCCTAACATTGTCCGTTTTTTTCTGATCTCCTGTCTGTTCTCCAACCTCCGTGACATCAGCGACAGGGACTCTCTGGGCGGCACCCACTGCGTCAAGTTGGCAGCTGACTGGATGTAACCAACCTCATCCTCTGGGCTCAGACTTACTGACTCACATTTATTATCATCCTCCGCCAGATAGACGTGGTCACGAACCTGTGTTCTCTCCCTGCAGAGGTTTCTGCCTTAGACACAGACACAGTTCACTGCAGTTCCATCTTAAATAAACATTTTGTTAAACCTAACTATGTCTCCGCCTCGAAGACTGGGTCCTTTTGTTCTGAGCCTGACATAATAATAGGTATCCTCCTAATTTCAATAATAATTAAGACCTTTCTAGAGTGTCTTTTATATTTAAAACCCAAATGTCTATAAATTTCAAGTTAGACGTCAGGATCTGATGCTCCTGACATTTGATCTTCATTAGACAAAAAAAAAAAATTCAATCTTGTTAGATTGAACAATTTTCCAAACACTGACAAAGTCAAAGAGAAAAGTAAAAAAAGGAGGTTTGTGTTTAAAACACTTTGAAAAAGGATTTCACTACAATTTCTACACAGCTCTGGGTGTTCCAACACCTACATCAGCAGTTCAAACTGTTACAGGCAAATATTCAAGCTTTTCAAACGTGTTTCTACCTAGCAAAAGTCTAAAACTTAAAAGGAAAATGGTTTAGAAGTCACTGTCTAAAGTGAAGCAAAATTATCATCCAGTGAAATGAGACGCTTCTGAGGTGGAAAGAAGCACTTGCTCTAAAAATTGGCATTTTCAACCTGAGCTAGCAGCTGTGCACAGACAGACTATATACAATATCAGAAACAATAATGGTCAGAAGAGAAAGATTTAACTGTCCAGTAGAAAAAAACAAGAAGATTTGTTTGGAGGTGTCTGTGTTTGACCTTTGATTTTAACAATCCTGTGTCAAGCATAATAGTGTGGCAGAATCAGGCTGTGGGGCCGCCAGGTACCATGGCATTGCATAATTTGGGTTGGATAATAATTAGTACTAGTAGTAAAAATGGCCTCTATGTTCCCTTTAAATAAGTATATTCAATAAATTGTTCATAATTATAAACAGTATTGAAGCCATTTTAGGAACGGTTCAAGGAAGGACATTTTTGCCAGGAAGAGTGGAGGCTTAATGACAACAACAAATTCCAGATGTTATGTTTTTTCATAAAATCCTTGCAGGTGTGTTGTATAACCATTCCCCTCTGGAAAAATGAACGGTTCAAATAAAACAATAAAAGCTCAGTTGGTGTGATATTCGTGCCAACAATGAGTGTATATACAGTAAACTTCTGACTTCAGCTGTATATACAGTATAAACATTGAGTCTCCTTCTGCTCTGTTTAAGGAGCTTTTCCACAATGTAAAAACCATGAAACTGTATGATTGTGATAGATTGTTTTATGCTGTGCTTCCAAAGCACAATATGAACATACAGAAATATGTCTAAAATGTTCTCAGGACAAAGAGATCTGAAATAATATGATTGGTATGCGGACAAAACAATAATAAAACATACCAACACACAAATTAATAATTCTGTTGCTTTTCTTTTTTTTAGATTTAGTTAGTGTTAACGTTTTGCCGACTGCTTGATCAACTGTTTAATAAAGAAGTAGACTCATTTTAAGGGACAGTATTGAGACGGACAAACTATTTGGGGCCAGGGAGAGTAAACTGTATGATGCAAAGAGGATAGAAAGCTAAAAGAGAACTATAAGCCATGATCTGGTCACAAATGGGAAGTTTGGGAATAAAAGTGGAACCACAAAGCACACATTTGCAAACGGCAACAAACGGCGTACTTACAAAGTGCTTATAAGGGTCGTTGCCATTCTTGTGTGACAAGCCATTCGTGTCTGCTTTGCTCGGATCCTTGATGATGTTTTCCATGTCCTTCATATTCTGGGCAGCTACAGACACCATTTCCTGCAGAGATGTGCAGATGCTGTCAGGGCATTGATTGGATATTTAAATCATGTCATGACCACAGAAATATGTCAATATCAAGGCTAGCATTTACTGTATAGAAGATATTTTAGAAGGGACCTTTTTTCTTCTTTCTTTCTATGCCTGAGTTCTAGTCAAGATTTGGATCTATAAGTCTGAGGGTTTATCCAGAGTTTCAAATGGGGTTTTATGGGGTTTTTCAGTGTTTATTTTGGAAATAAAATGTCCAGGCTAAATACTTTTTCTCTGTTTAATCACCTATACATCAGACTTGGTGACATTTACAATAGTGGTTCCACCTGAAAAATATTCATCAATGCCTTTCTGCCATACAAATGAAAACAATTGTATTTCCAATTTATAGTTTAGGAGCTGCACTTGCTTTAACTCACATTTGTAACTTCAGCTGGAATTTGCTCCTAAAACCCTCTGGGCTTTAGTGAAAAGAATGATGCATCTTTGGTAGTTAAACTCTGCTCTGGTATCTTTAGCTCTGACAGAGGAACACGTTGGTTTATGTGACTGGTCAACTACATCTGAGTAGTTTTGTAATTACAGAACACACACAAAATAACCAATCTTCAATTTTCTGGTTGACCAAATTTATTTACTGTACGTAAATAAAGTTAAGGTATTTTAATGCCTGATGCAATCTACCAGGCTTTCCAGGGTCTTTTATCGTAAAACAGGCTCAATGCATCACTGAAAAAGAGTAATGAGTGGTTTTTAGTTTTACTCCAAACCCAGCAGGAGTGCTAATAAACACTATCTGGGGTTTGTTTCTCATTAGGTTAAAATGCCAGAAGACTATAACATGTTGGTTTATTTGTGATGGTACAAAAAAGCATGCTGGCCTTGCTCATAACCGTCCAGCTGGCATTCATACAGCATGAAATCATTGCTATGTAGACCTATTCATCCCCAAGATGTAACTCCTATCTAAAATAAAAAGTGGCTCTTTGGAGGTTTTCTTTTGCAATCTTTGCACTTCCCTGACTTTATGTGGGAGCAATATAAACAATGGACCTCATTCAATGTAGTGAATAAACCAATTAGATTTTGTTTAGCCATATATTCTTATCCCAGCAAAAGAAAAAAATAATTGAGGTTGAAGTAGAAATTCTTAAAGCTTAAAAAATGCAACATCATAATATTGGATTTCTCTCCTATAGCATAAAGAAACTTTATTTTATTTTATTTTCAAGTGTAAGATGCTGCTGCAGAGTTATTTAGTAGTTTAAGGCTTTTAGAAAAACATTAATGGGGTGTAGATAACTATGGCTAGCACATTCAATAAGGACTCTCCACAGATCAGTGCTCACCTGAGTATATTGCACATAGCAGTTCACATTCTTGGCCAGTTGCCTCACAGCTTTCTCCAGACTCCTGAAAAGTTTCTCCTCCTTATCAAACACTTCATCTCTCACCTGCAAACACAAGTCCCAGGTGAATAAATATTCTGCTTTCTTCAGCCCTTAACCCTGATCATCTCTCATTAAGTCATTGATTCGTTACCTGTGGCTCCACTCCAGTAAGAATCTTGAGGTAACCGGCAAACCTGTCCCCTTTCTTACGGAGGGAGTGAATGTTTATCTTGTTTAGTTTTCCCCTCAGCGTGCCTTCATCATTTTCTAACCTCTTGTATTTCATAACTGATGTATGAAAGGAAAATAAAATGTGTTTGATACAGACAGGAAATGGAAGCAAATAATGAATCAGTTGTGAGTAAAATCCCACCTATGTCTTTGCGCCTCCGGAACTCGTTGATGTTAACATTTATGATCTTGGTGGCGGTGAGCGCCTCCTGCAGAGGCAGGTAGTCGATGTGGTCTTCAGGAGTGGCTTGCCAAAGTTCTCCCAGAAGCAATGGGTACTTCATGATCCTCTGGACTGGTTTGATCAGCAATGAGCCCATGTCCAGCAAATTGGGTTTTCCTCTGTGGAAACATAGAGGTGTTTATGGAACAATGGTCATCAAATGACAGAAGAGAGAAGATGGTTAGAAATCGCTTCTGAAATACAAAACTTACTCTTGGTCATAGATTTTTCTGCAATAAAAATAGAAAGATTACAGATTAAAGTTTGATTTTATTTCATTTTTTTATTTTACCGTGTAAATCATTTGTTGAATACAAAAAAAACCTTACTTCAGCGCTAAGATACATGTAGTAAAATGTTGCTTTATTTGTTCCTCCTTCTCGTAGGCTTTCAGTGACACATTGGCATCATCATGGTGGTAACAGTAAATCTTATACACATCCTCTAATGCTCCCTTTGCCTGGATAAACACTTCACCTAAAGCAAAGAGGGAAAAAAAAGACTTTCCTTTTACCACTACATCGACAGTTAACAATAAATGAAAAAAGGAACCATAATAGACCATAATAACGGCACCTATGACCACTGCTTCTGGATCCGGGTCAGACATGGCCCCGTGTAGTCTGTGCAGAAGAGCTGCAGACACCTCACACACCGTTTCCATGTTGGTGAAGAGTCTGTCTACATCCACAACCTGACAAACAATATGGGAATTTACTGAAATTATTCAGAGCTGCAGTATTCTGCATAAAGGTCAAATTTTAAAATGACTCATACTTACAAATGGTACTAAAGTAGGGAATTTGCAAACATTGATTATATGCCAGCAGCATGCAGAGACATTCAACTCCCTTTTGAAATTTTAGCTACCAATGATCTACTCTAGTGTTTCCCACTATGGGTATGCATACCTCTAGTGCATTGCAAGGGATATATGAATATATTTTATTTCTTGGGTAGTAAAATCAAAAAGGGCTTGGACCTATTTTGGGTTCTGGGGACCCAATTAAAAAAAATAAACAAGCTTTTATTAACCAAAAAGTCAGCTTTTATGTTTGAGTTCACCTTCAGCTTTTACAAACCTCCAAACCAAGCAGAGGAACAGACTGGATGTAGAGAACAGCCTAGGATCAGCTGTTTCTCACAATAAGGTATCGCAGCTCATCAAAGCAGCTCAGGTGTTTTGATAAAGACAAAGTAAAACTAATTAAGTCAGTCTGGCTGTAATTTTTGTTCTCAATTAACCAAGTTTAAATGTGATTATAAAGGAGTTAATCGGAGGAGCTCCAGTTTTATAAATACAGGTTTATAATGTGATTTTATTTTGTATTTATTTTGATTCCTTACTAACTTCCAGGGAATATATTTAAATATAAATATAAAATTATACAAATTAAATGCTCCAATTAAAAGATTAATTAAAATTGTCTTTATTACAGTAAATGTATGTTCCGCTTTTGGACAATCATTAATACATTTGACTGAGAGGGGTACTCATCGTAAAACAAAAGGCCCAAAGGGGTACACAAGTCAAAAAGGTTGGGAAACACTGATATTGTCATGGGTACAGCTTTCAGATCTATGTTTCAAATGATGTGCATATATTTTCCTGATATAATAAATCAGGTGTAACTGTGTTTTAACAAACAATGAGCAGAATAACCAGCAAATTGTATGAAAAAATGTGAATAAACAGGTTAATGTCAGCCTTACTAACTGCCACACATGAAAACATTACATGAGCAAAACCTGATTTTATAGTGATGTAGTTCTTTTTGTCCCTCAGATGTTACCATAACATTTCCTGCTAGTGTTTTAAGAACGTCAGAGGAGCTTTAATCCTGTTAGCCCATGTTGAATTAGATTAAAGAGCCTGATCTGTACAATACTCTTATTATTATTATTAAATTAGTGTGGTGTAAAGAACAGTATACATGATAGCGGGAACTAAACATGTGTTGTGTCTTTAATTGGAAGATTCCTGGGGAAAAATGACAGAACTTTCCCAGAAGCCATTAGAAAAGGTTCTGGTAAAATCCCTTCAATCATTCTAAACCTGCATATTATTTCACTGGCCAAGGTGTACGGTTGAGAAATGTTACACATGGTAAATATTAAACATTGTTTATAACAAACATTTTAAAGGGGGGCATCCAGTATAATGTAATGGGCATATATGTATATTCTTTTTTTGTTAAAAGAACTTGCTAACAAACTATTTGGTATAATCACTGTCGTTAAAATCAGATATAAATTAAATTTTCATTCATTTCACCTGTAACAGTCGTAGAGGCTGGACAACTTCTCTGATGCAAAGCTCCAAGTCAGTGAGATAGTCCTTTTCAGTTTGCACAAGTTCCTTTATCACTTTCTCCCTGCGGCTCATCTTCCTTGACCTAAGCTCTTCAATGTCCAGCACCGGAGAGGGGAGAGCTGACAGGTTATGTGGCATCAGTTTCTCTGCAGGGGGAAAAAAAAAAATTGTTTTCACAACTATATTTCAGATGACATCAGCTCAGGATGAAACACATGATGGGGAGTGATGGCCTAGTGGTTAGGGCATAGAGCTTGGAATCCTGAGCTTGTGAGTTTGAGCCCCACTCCCACAGACTGCCACTCTGGTTTTCTGAGCAAGACCCTTAACCTCCGATTGCTCCCAGGGTCCCTCGATGGCAGCAAGGGGATGGGTTGAATGCAGAGGTAAATTTCTCCAATGTGAGATCAATATGTGAGATATATGCTGAGGAGAACCAGAAGTGTATTCAAAACTGCCATTTTGTACCTTTGTTAAATTCTAAATTTCAAGAACGCTTTTACTTTAATCAAAAACTTCTAATTACCCTGTGAATTTTAACCAGTATTTGGACACATGAGTGAAAACATTCACTGTGATTTAATTCTTTTCAAATGGAAACCAGAGTCTCACTCAAACCTACCAGTCAAACTCATTTCACATTTCTTGTTAGGAAACGCCTACACAGTCTGAGGCTGTTCTGTACTTTGCATGGTAGGCAGGGACATCTGCTTAAGGAAGAGTGATGCTTCCTCACTGCTAAATCGATGCTTCCTCCTTCAGAGGGGAAGAGCAGCAAAGGCAGGGAAACAGCAGGCTGCAGGGATCGTGTCAGATTACGAAACTAATCAGCCTGCTGATGCAATGCTGCCTGGCACATCTCAGACATCCCATCTGCTCACACCTCTCAAATTGTTTGAAATAACAATCCTCAAAAAGTAATAAAACCCACCAAGTGAACCTGAATGTGCAAGCACACAAACCCTCATGAGTGCACAACATTACCCCTTTTTGTCTTTAACAGCACATAGCGGCAAAAAGTTTTACCAATAACTTCTTTAAGTTTTGGAAGAATCCAATACGCTTTAAAAAAACATTATTCTGCATATATCAACCAGCTGGTAACATTTGATAATGGATTTCAGTTATAATTCACTTTTCATAATGCATGTGTGGCTGCCTTACTACTGTATGAGGTAACACTAGTACATACTCCGCAAAAAAGTGTTCAGATGTGTAGAACGATCAATATTTGAATTAATTATCTAAAGTGTTGTAATTTCCACTTATTTAAAGTGAAAAGTATGTGACACAAGTGACCTATTTGACCGGCTGCTGGTGTAAAGTAGGATGGATAATGAGGTTGCACCCAGTAGGCAGCACCAGGTAATGAATGCAAGCATGGCAGAAACAAAGATCTGATCTAACACTACATTATACTGCGCCATGTTAACTCTCTGACATTACACATCCAAAGTTTGACATATATCACGAAATGTAAGTGCTGCTATTTCACACCATATTTGAATGCTTGTCTTGTAATAAAAAAAAAGAATAAGCCTTTATTAATTTTTATTTACTTGATGAGATTAAAATTGAAAGACAGAGAAGCTTTAAGCGTTAACTAAGCAAGAACATATAAAGTAGGAACATTACAGGAAAACTATGAATAACTTAATGTTTAATAAAAGTGAAAACAAAACCTGGATACAGATGTTAATATTTTTGGGGTACATGTACAGCTTAATACAAAAATTAGTATAACTGATAGTAGCAGTTTGGCTCTAACAAAAGTGTTTTTTTTTTTTTACTATTTAGGAAGTCTGCAGTTCTTTTGTTCTGTGATTTTTTGAAGACTGTTTGCAAGGATCAGAACTAAACTTTAAGCTTGTACCTGCTGAAGCATCCACCGTTGATTTTGAGGTTGCGAATTTTCTTGACGAAGCCGATACTCTTGTACCGTAACTGTTTTTCCTTTTAAATCCGGCAGAGTTTTTTTTATTTCTAAAAGCAGATATTTTAAGGAGTCCTTCTTCTGAGAGATATATTCCCTGCAACACACTCCTAACATTGTAAACGATCCACCATTGCCCTTATCAGTTGGATGGATGTTCTCCAAACACACCTTTGCTCATTGCAGTCACAAACATTAGGTTTTGGTTTGATCCAGAAGGCACCACAGTTGAGATGTGCTTTTGTTAATCCCGGCTTCTGATTTTTTTTTTTACATCTGTTTATTTTTGTATTGTTATATCTGATTGTTAGGTTCTCTTGTAGGTCACATTTCTGAGTAAATAGGCCAGTGCTACATCCAAGGTTTACTTTTTTTTATACCTTAACAACACATTTTTTTGGATGTTGCAATCCCATAAGCTGCAGTTTTCTTTTGGTTTACTTGGTATGCCAGTATGGAGGACCAACTTTGCCATATTTAAAAATAAATACATAAATAAATAAATGCTCAATGAATAAATAAGCATACAATTAATTGGCCACAAAAATAAACAAATAAATGTGGATAGAAATAAATCATACAGTGAGACATAAATGTATATATCTCTTTTAAGTAGCTTCTTTATTTATTCATCTTCGGAATAATTACCTTATTTATTTATTGTCCGTTATAATCTTCAACTTTATTTATTACTGATTTTTTGAAGTATTTATTTACGTGCATGTGATAATATTTTTTATTCTTCCTTTGTATTTCTTTATGCATTTCTGCCTAATTATGCAAATGAGTAAGGGTGTGTCTTAGAGGTTCAACTTCTGCCCATTGGTTGGTTAGCATTTTACTGAATCGGTCAAATCTACAGGAGGAGAGGAGAGTCTGAAGTCAGTGGCCTTTTTCAATTCATAAGAACGCGAGTAAGAAAGTGTGGACTCGGGGAGAACAGGAGCACGCAGCATAAATCTGGGTCAATTGGAACAGAAGCGTACTGATGACATTACCACACGCTCGGCTGGTCTGAAGCTGCTTTTCTCCTCAATAATTTTTTCATTTAGTGGGGGAAAAGTAATTAACACAGTCAGATTAATACAAATCAAATGAACATTTGGCCAAAAAAAACAAAAAAATCGCCATCATAGCCGGCGGGCCTTCACACCTGGCTATAAAGAGAGAGGGCTGCTGCAGACAGGCTAGAATTAGACATGGCTGCCGTTAGCCTTGTTGCTCCGCTGGTTGCCGCATTCCTCTCAACTTTGGAACAAAAAAAAATTTTTTAATTACTCATATAATCGGTAAATGGGCCATATAGTGACGCTTAAAAGTATAATGTTCTTGCTTCAAATTTTTTTAAGACTTACTTTTATTTAATAACAGCAACAGATAAGAGAACTTTTAACTTAATACTCTGAGCTCCGTGAGTTAAGAAGATGGGCCGCTGGGCAGAATTTGACCCTCTAGGACACACCCCTCCTCATTTGCATAATGAATTGCATACAGAAATTTAAAAACAACAGGCAGAAATAAATAGTGTTGAAGAAATAAACTGGATAAAAAAATACAAAGGAAGAATAAACCAGACAAAAATATTATAACATGCACATAAATAAATACTTAAAAAATTACTAATAACTAAATAAAGTTGAAGATTATAATGGACAATAAATAAATAAGGTAATTATTACAAAGGCGAATAAATAAAGAAGCTAATTAAAAGAGATTCATACATTTATGTCTCACTGTATAATTAAATTTCTACTGACATTTATTTGTTTGTTGTATTTTTGGGGGCAACTTAAGCTTTTTTTGTATTTATTTTTAAATATGGCAGAGTTGGTCCTCCATATGCCAGTGGCTGGTGTTACTTCCATTGTTCTGAATTACTCTCAGCCTTTTTTTCTGTCTGGTGTCAATCAGAAATAATTGAATTCCTCTGTCATTTGCAGTTTGCACAGAATAGCTGATTCATTTTAGTTTAGATAAATGCTGGATTTATATTGCTACTAAAACAGAGGATGACTAGTTTTAACAAAACATTTGATCTTCTACCCAGTTTGCTGGTTTAGATGAAAATCATGGCTTTATGAAAAGGAAAGCTGATTTGAGTCTCTTCTGTGATTTGTAAGCTAATGTAGGACACACAGGCTGCTGATAGGTGATACAAAAAAATAGAATTTTTAACTCAATTTAAATTATAGTGCTGACAGTAAAAATAGACAAAACAAAATATATTTTTAAAGCAAATGAATTCAATTTCAAACAATTAAACTCAATTTAAACAAATTCATGGTCCAATTAATGCATATACTTTCAGATACAATTTAAAATGTAAATTAATCGAATTTTATTTCACATACAGATTAATACATATTCAGTCAGGGTTAACTTTTGTAAATTTAGTTACTGATAGCACAGGTTTCTGCCCATACTTTTTGTCATTACATAGATTTATTTAAAATAAAAAAAAGTGTATATTATATATATATATATATATTTTTTTTTTTTAAAATAAAAAAAAGTGTATATACTACTCTCATATATTCTATATATACTCTTGTAATACTTTATACACATTGGGCAAATATACATTTCTTTGACTGGACTTGGATTGGATTAAACTATCTGGGTCTCAAACTCATACTGAGTAACTAGTTCTACAACAGTCCTGAGAAGTATCATGTGTCAGTCTGTGAAAAAGATCCCATAACTGGAAACCTGCATCTGTGAGAAAGGAAGTAAAATATGGCTGTTCAGTTTTACAACAGTTAAAAAAGGGACCATTTAAACTTCACTTTTATGCTACAGAAGTTAAACACTCATTGATTTTGCTGACATTATAAATTCATCCTTTAAAAAGAGTATTTCTCTGTTTGGTGCGGTTTCCAGCATAGAAGTTCCCATGAAAGTGTAGACAGAGGTTTTCACTGTACGGTTCGGAGAAAGGGATCCAATGGAATGGTCCGGAAAGAACACAAAAAACACTGAGTATTGTGTTGCACTGGCAGGAAAAATGATATGTTGGTCTTTGCCACAAACCAAAAGGAAACCTATGATTTTGAATGGTAGTAATAAAATAAGAAAACAAAAAATGCTAAAACTGACTTAAAAAAAGGGATTATTACACATTCAGTGAGTTACACTTTAAAGTTGTATTTTTAAAGGATAAAGGCTCATCTATTTACCAGTAAGATTATGAAAGTTGTTTTTAGCTGAAAAAACTGGGTCCTCATCCAGACTTAATTGTATTAAACGTTTAAATCAGTCCCCTGACCGTATATATATATATATATATATATATATGGGCTTTTTTTTGTTGCTATATATAACACAGAGCTGAACAGTGACCAAAAATAGGTCACTGTCACTGCCAAAAATTGGCTTCTGCATTTTTTCCCCCCTTGATTGATTTCATGATTAGCAGTGCTTCCTCACTGCAAAATCTTTTTCTATTACAATAAAAAGCCACAGAAATTATTCACAATTTAAAAAAACAATTTTAAAAAAGGCTGCCTAAGTACAGAGAAACTAATAATTTCATCCAAATTAATGAGATAAAAAAGTATAATAATATAAATATAACACATTCATGTAGAATTATTTTTTAATAGTTTTTCTTTGATTCAACTCATGTTTCCAATGCTGAAAGTAGGTAATGTTTAATAACTACTGTATATTCACTGGATCTACAAATTGCTCAGCAGATAGAAAATACTGTCAAAGCAACCAATCTTGTATTGAATTCAAATGTCTCAATTTAAAACTAAATGTAGTTTTGTCTCTCTGTAGAATTTTTGGTTTAAATATTGGTGAGTCAAGTTGCCTAAAAATATTTAACTAAGACTAGCAACACTTTTGGCAATATCTTTTTAATGTAAACGTCTATATATAAACCTTCTTGGGTTTTTAATCCAGAAATGATATTGATAAATGGCGTTTTGTTTTCTTTCAAAATGTTACTTAAGTAGATATAACATTTAATTGTAATAATACTTCTGCCTATTATAAAGCTCATTTTGGCAAAGCAATGTTTCACTAACACTAGATGATAACCTCCTCATCTGCATCCTCCTGTATTTCTACTTCCTTGTATTGCTTCAGTCGCCCTTGTTGCACAAATCAGTTATTCTAAGTTGGGACTTTTAGCTGCTTCCACTTTTAAAATGCTTTTTTTTCTCTGATTTTTTTCTGCACTCTCCTTGCAGTTTTGAGGGCCATTTTAAATTTTTGATGGGGTGTAAATAAAGTGGCATCTCCCGCTCCTGCTTAATTTTGTGATCTTGGTGGCGAGTCAGGCAAAAGGTGGACGGAGGAGGGTTAATAGATAAAAAGGGGTCACATTTTGAGTCTCATATACTTTTGCAGTCGAAAAAATATTTTGAGGCTTTTATTTAAACACTGATTCTACTAATCTTTAATTTATTTATTGTAAAAACATACATCAAATTAATTAATTAGAAATACTCCTTTATTTACATTATGAACGACTAAAATCAGTCCAGCACTTTAATAACACAGTTTTTTTCTTGAAACTCTATTGATCTATTAAGATCTACTTTATTTGAATATCATGGCATTTTAAAGAGATGCTAAGGATATAGGCCTCATTAACATACCATGCTTCTACCCAAGCGAACCAGAAAGACATGCAGAATAAAGCTAAAAGATCACATAAAGGTATAAATGAACAAAATTAAATAAAGCTTTATATCTATAGGTGTGTCAGAGTTTTTTACTTCAAATGTTGAAATGATATTCAAAATATTTAGAGATGGAGGAACAGCCCTGTAATGTAGGGGTGGATTTTACAAATCAGACATTAACTGATTTTGGACAGAATACCTAAGCACTTATTTTTAGATAAATACACGTTAAACACAAATAACTATGAGAAAATGTGCTTTTCTGTTTGGAATGCAACTTCTATTTAATAGTTCCTCCCTTTCTGTACATTCATGCCACCCCAACATGTAATGCCACCCTGAGTGGTGAGTCCTATCGCTCATATCAGAGACGGTATCTGATTAGACTCGCTGATGTAATGTCTCCATGGCTGCTGGTGACAAACCTGTTTGACAGGCAGATGAGAGAGGACTTTAAGAGCAGCAGCTCACATGTTTCCTCTTTTAGTGAGGTCATCGTTCTGTCAATATTTGCATTGGTAATACCCCTGTCAATATGTAATACTGCACATCAGCTGGATCTGACAGGGCGGGTTAATGGTTACTGAAAACATCTCTGTGTTTTTTTGACAACCTTGCCAACTATTAAGCAGGCCAGATAATGGTGCAAAAGGAGAGGAAAGTTGGGTCTATTTCAGGTAAACAGAGTTGCTGCTGATAAGGCCAGCATATTCGTGTTAGGGGGGGTTATCTGTTGTAAGGCCTGTTCCCCATAAGGAAGGGTTCTTTTCTTGGGTTGGGAATGATTTAGGACTAAGGTGTGAATTAAAGTTAGACTTAAGGTTAAGTGTTAACAGGGTTTAGGGTCTGGGTCATTTCATAGCAATTAATAGAAAATATCCTGTGGGACATAATGTGTGTGTAAATGATCTGTTCAGGAAGGGAGAGTTTTTTCTTCCTTTTTCAAACACATGGTGAGTGAATATAATGTCTAGTGGTGTGCATTGTTCACAGAAGAGGAAACGGACGAACAAGTGCGGCAGGAAAGCCCACATAGAATCACACTGCGCTCATTCAGTGTGATTGTAGCCTTGCTGACAGCTGATGTTATTTTGCCTGAAGTGCAGCATTCTCAGCGGCTGACTGCACTCTAGGACAGGTGGAGCAAGTTTTTCTTTTCCCTTTTTTTCTTTTGCTAAGGTGTAAATATATGTCACCATGAATGACCCCTCTCACCAGTTGTAATGCCATTATCATTATCATATATATAATCAAACAAGTCTTTTTTTCACTTTTTAAACTTTAATTCCCTTGAAACCTTATCGTATTCTTTATATTTTGCAGAAAAAACACTTGGGGAATGTCTCTCCTAATGGTTTAAAACTATATTAATAACAAAATGTTCTTTTTTCCAGTGTCCTAATCTAATGTGTTGTTTGTGTGCCAGTCCGGAACACTTGGAAAGCCACTCCTCTGTGCCCGGGAATGGGGCACAGTTTGCATATGTGGCTTCATCCCTGAGGGAGTATCTTTCTCAGCATAGTAACACAACAGGTGCCCAGTACAGAGTGGAGCACTCTTATTGGCTCCTTCAGTGCTGAAATTCAACCACCTTAAGCCATGGATGCTGCATTTACAGCCTGTTCTTTGTGTATAAATGATCTCTTCAGCTATAAGTTTGCACTGAGACACTTTAGTTGCTATAGTTTTGTCACCTGGGAACATTATTAGCAGCTGTACCTTTAAGTTTAGCGTTGTACTCCGTCTTGTCAGACTGACTCCTCCTCACCAGTGTCCCCAGGTTGATATCACCTTTGGCTGTGTCATCAGCCACTATAGTGTCCGTCTTCCTTCTCTCCAGGTACCGCAGGAACACAGGCCGGTTTCTTCTCTTTTGCACCCTTTCCTTGTCCTTCTCACCCCCTCCGGCCTCCCTGGGATCCATGGTGAGCCTGTCAGGTTGCTCTTTCCTCAGGTAGGTAAAGGATAACAGCTAAATAGAGAGCCTGCCTGGGAAGTGCAACAGGTGTACTGTTCTCAGTGTCCTGCCTGTCTGCTCTACACAGGTAGCACAGCTCCTCCCTCCCCACCTACCTGCTATGAGGGCCACACCTCTGCCCTTACTGTGCTAGGCTTTCCTCCCTTTAGACCATCGCATCTACCCACCAAAAGGACATCATGTACTTTGTCTTTACTTAAAAGGTTTGAAAAAAAAAAAACTGTAGCAGTAATCTCCTCACTCCTACACTAAAATAAAATGAACCGAAATAAATACCTCTCACTTATTGACAAGGAGCTAACTACTGATAAGGAAGTTAAATAAGGTAGTCATGCAAATGACCTGTCTATAAAACATTATGAAATTCTGCTTCATATTTAAACAACAATGGAGAGCATTTTCTGCTTTTAACTGTAAACAGCATCTCTCTAAGTTCAAACATCATTCCAAAGTTTATTTCTCAAATATTTTCATTCAAACTGTGAAACAAGGATTTAGTATATGAAAAGTGATATGTTTTAATATAAAATTTTCCCTGTTAAACTTGATGAATTAAGCTTCAAAACCAGTTAAAAACCTGTAGGAATCACATGAATACATTTAGTTTCTTAGATTATCTAAATATAATATACCGTAAAAGGATTTTTTTTACAGAAATGATACACTGTTAAAAATTATTACCATTTACTACATACTTTCTACATGCCCTCATAAATTGCTGTGGGGTTCCCATGAGCTACTGCATCAATGCAGCATAGCATGCAGGTGGTCAGTCTGTAGCTCTGCTGCAATGTAATGGATGTCCAGATTGCCTTGATAGTGGCTTTTAGCTCATCTGTTTTATTATCTTCTTTCTGACAATACTCCACATGTTCCCTATGAGGTTCAGGTTGGGTCAGCTACTAATATATTGTGTACACTGTTACCATGGTGACTATATTGGGTATTGGTACTTTTGCCAGTGTAGGCAGTCCTGCTGGAATATAAAAAAAATAATCAGGATTTCCACATGTTTTGCCAGTAGTGGTAAGCATAAAGTGCACTAAAATGTTCTGTTACACTCTGAGGTAAATGGAATGCACACTTTTCTTTAATCTGAAAAAAGACTTTAAAACACTTATCCCCACTTATCTCTTGACAAAATGAATATGAGAATGACTCTTGAAGGAACTTCACCTTTCTACCGTTTGTTAATAAATCTACTCTGGTTGAATATCTTTCTTGAACGGTGAGCAATGATTAAATCTAAGGTGGCATCCCTATTGCCTTTTTACCTAAACATCAACATATTAGCATCTTTCTGCTTTAACTTTCCAGGGCCTGAATGTATGCTGAATTAGGAAGCCATCCAAATACAAGATGTCTGCCGATCTTGCAATCTTATTGAGTTATCCGTTTGGAACTTAGCTCATTAAAGACTCAAATGATGGTAAAGATTACTTCCTGTCACTTGGTGATGCCTTATTCCCACCCTCCAAAGAGCATTGCTGTTGATTTCTCCCTAGTAACAACCAAACCTATTTTGCTGTGCTGTGAAAAAACCACACGCCCTACCTAACATTTGCTTTGCTTTTTTACCACAGTTAATGTTAAATAAAACCGAACAAATTTCATTACCTCCAAATAATAACCTGAGTCACAATGCAGTTAGAAAAAGAATTATGATTTACCAATGAGAAAGGTTAAATTTGTATAATCCTGTTCAAGTTGGAACCAAAATGCCTAAACCACATGAAACTTTTACTATAAATAATATGCATACTAGTTTATTTTGTGACTTTTAGTAGCAGTAAATTATTTATACAAATAGGGTAGCGTAAACAGTCCTTTAGGAGCTGTAATGGGGTTGTAGTAGATGTGTTATAAATCTGATATATGCCCAAAGAGAATCTTATTTTAGGGAGAATAATAATCATACTTTGACTTTGGCACTGGTGATGGCAATAATCAATATTACTGGCAGAAATAGACGGCCCCAAAAATAAAATTCACCTTAGGAATCTATTGAGGGTTGATCCAGCCCTGCAGAGATGTAACAAAAAGGAAACTATGCAAGTCCCCCACCCCTAAACACACACCCCCACCCCCAAAAAGAGAAGTTTTGGAGCACTAATAGAATAAAGCCTTATTAGGGTAGGTAGCAATTATTTTACCACATAGGACATTTTTTTTTTCATAATTAAGCATTAATTTAAAAGCAGCTTGTTGTATTTACCCTGGTTCTGTTCTTCCAAATTTTATCATCATATTGGTTAACACCCAAGATTATAGTTACTTTGAATTAGTGTCTATTTCTTTGAAACACGAATGTCTCATATTCTAAATTTAACAGACTCAAATGCAAAAAAAAATAAAAAATCTTGAGTTAATTTAGAGATCAAACTAAATTCTACAGTATCTGGCATGTTGTAAAGTGAAGGTAAAGCAGCATTGACCACAGGCAGCCTATCTTCATGCACTGCTGACACAAGAAGGACAGATATGCAATAATGTTTATGAAAGATTGGCGAAACTGACTGAGTTATTATCAACACTGCCCAATTTGGCTAATCCACTTAAGTTTTGATTTTGGGTGACTCAGCATTGGCAGAGATAATGAATGAACTGTTAAGATTTATGTCTCCTCTGTACCTTTGGAAAGCACAGACAAATCAAATACAATAGTAAGAAACATGAGTAGTATTGTGTTTCCAGGAAGGACTAGTATAGATAAACCATGCAGACGCTGTAAAGAAGCGTGCAGGAGAGGATACAGCATAATCTGTTTGCAGAGAATAATTGCTTTGTGCTGAGGGAGCTAGGAGAGCATCTTGTTGTTTAGTGCATTTGGCTGTACTTGCTGGAAGACGTGGCATATTCCTTGAACTTGGTTAAACTGTAAAAACCATGTGATTCAACTGCAGGAAACAAAAACTGTGTTTCCTCTTTAGTTGACCATATAGTTTAAAGAAAAAATATTTCAGACTTATTAAGCTTTTGGCCCAGTGTAGACTGTGTATGACCTTCATCCACAGGTATATGTCAAAGCTCTATTGGTGACATTTTAAAATACATCTGAAGATATTAATGCAACAGCTTTTATGGGAGGTACATTTGGCAGCTGTGTTCGTCATTTGTTTGAAGAGAGACCAACTATAAAGGAGGCACATCAAGGTGAGTGGGTTGGGTGTTTGTTCAAGGTATATATATGTGTGGACTTTGATCATGATGTATTGTGGAGATTAACACTCAAAAAGAAACAAAGAACAAAAGGGTAGGTTTGGTGGCGATTAAGGCAGGAGCAGAATCTTTGTTGAAGTTCCTATGGGATCATAAATTGTTGCTCAGTTAGATATTGGATACTTTGATGTGGATGAATATGCAAAGATTTACACATCTTAATAAAATCCTTCATCTAGATTGTGACCCAACCAAAGACTTAATGTTGGATTTTACATTTTCTGTGCCTGTTTTTGTTTCAGTTGATTTCAAAGTGTAGATGTAGAACAGGAAGCAACAAGTTAACAACTAACAAAACATAATAATTAGGATATTTTAGATGCAGTAAATCCAATGATATAAATATGTATTTTGTTGAGTTTGTTCACACTAAGCCAACACATACAGGTCACATGATCAACGTTCTCTTTCTCTTTTAAATATCATTGCATCTTTGGCTGCGGTCATCATGTTTTTAAGTTACTTTAATATTTTTGATGACATATTTGAGCAAATGAAAATAATAACTTTAATTCAACACATTGTTACACCATTGGCTTTATTAAACTCAAAGTGATGTAAGTAATAAGATTACTAGCATATTATACACCATTATATATATTATCTGTTGGTAGAGGCCAAGATGATTAAACTACTAGAGAACTAAATGCAGCCATATAGAAAGACAATAAAATCAAAACAGTATAAGGGGAAATAACACGGACACAGCTGCAATCTAGGCTGATTGGCAGGAATTATAGATTGACGGATTTTAAGGGAACAGGGCAAGACAGTGAAATCTGTTTTTACTCACATATTTTTACTAAAATAAGAAACAGAAAAATAATATCCTTGGTGCAGATGACCAGTATGACATTTAAAACCTAAAGAAAATCCAGAAGATGACAAAACCATCAAGACTAAACCTGACATTCAGTAAAAATAAGAAAATATGTAAGACAGAATGTAAAGTTAAATATTATGCCTTAACCATATATTTTTCAACAAGACTAGAGCTTTTAAAGACACTCTACTTCTGGGATGGTAAATGTAGCAAAGGTGACAGCTAGATGGCAGTAAAACAAAGCATTGCTTTTAAAAGCTGGATATGTAAATTATTTATAATGCAGATTTGTGTCAGAAAAAATGAGTTTAAAATCAGCACAGAAGGAAAAATTTAAGCTGTTTGTCAAGCTGAGAATCAAAAAAGGTCTTATGGAGGTGAGGCTTCAGTGGTCACCTAAATGCAAATTTAGCTGCATAGAATTTAAAAAGGAAACTTTGTCTTTTGAAGGGTTCCTTAATGATTTAACCTCCACAGAACCTTTGGGCAAGGCAGGATGAATGAAGATCAGTTTCAATGTTAATATTTTGAATGTTCCGATATTTGTGAACATATATAATGTCCTCTAAATGTGAAACAGAAAATAAAAATCAGCTAAAGCACTGAACATTATTAACAGAGTTCAGATCATGTTATGGATAGGCAAATGTGTTCCAAACATCAAGGAGCATTTAGTTAATGCTACTTGCAGCTTGTCTTAATGCTTGTTTTAACATTTACGCTTTGATTTTTTGGGAAGTATAAGGA